CGAAAGCCGCATTCTGAAAAGAATCGGCCCTCCGTCGTGGTAATTGTTGGACTCCTTTTAGTTTCAGGATCGCAGATTGCCAGGAAGTCTCAAGCGAAACGCCTGGCCTAGCCTACGGACATGCATGGTTGTTCGACAGGGGGGGGGACTTGTTCACAAGGAAGAGAGATGAAGGAGGATGGGGAGGAGGAGGAGGCGGACGACGAGGAAGTCCTCCTCCTCACCCTCCTCCTCCTCCCTCTCTGCTCCGTCTCCACATTCCCCGCCTCCCTCCCCGCTCCCCCTCCCTCCCTCCTCCTCCTCCGCCTCCCCCCTTCTCGGGCGGAAGGGGAAGGCGGAGGAGGAGGCGGAGGCGGCGGCCTAGGCGGCTGCGGAGGCTGTGCCGACGACGGCCACGGGTCCCGCCGCGCCCGCCGCCCCCGCCGGCGCGCCCGCGGCAGCCCCGGAGGTGCCCGCCGCCGTCGCCGCGATATCGCCGTCGTCCTGGTCCTCGCTGCCGCCGCCGCCCGTCTTCGCCGCCGCCCTCGCCCTCGCCGTGCTGCCCGATCGTCTGGACGCGGGAGCAGCAGACGCAGCAGCGGCAGCGGCCAGCAGAAAAGGAAGTGGCGAAGCGAAGCAGAAGCAGGAGGGGAGCAGCAGGAGAAGGAGAAGGAGGAACAGGACGACAAAATGGAGGAGGAGGAGGAGGAGGAGGAGGAGGAGGGCAGAGGAGGAGGAGGAGGAGGAGGAGGAGGAGGGTGAGGGTCGGAGAGGGAGGAAGGGAAGGAGGAAGGAGGGGAGGAGGGGGAGGGGGAGGGAGGTGAGAGGGGGGGCGGGAGGGAGGGAAGGAGAGTGGGGGGGGAATGGAGGGCGCATGAGGAGGAGCAGCAGTAGAACGAGGGTGAGCGGAAGGGGGGAGGAGGAGTAGCAGGAGCAGGAGGATCGTTAGGAGCAGGGCCAGGAGGAGGATGGGAAGAAGAGAAGGGCGACGAGAAGGAGAAGGAAGAGACGAATGAGAAGTAGGAGGAGGCTGGAGGATGAGGAGGGTGGGCAGAGAGTGAGGAGTTCCTGACACTCATATCTCATGGGCTTACCGAGTCCACGGTACATAGTTTAGTCTTGGTTCGCCCCCCTGGAGGGGCAGTGCTAGATTGTCCGATGAGCGCTTTACGTGCTGGGCGGGAGGTGATGTTGCAGCTCGTCACTGTGCATGGCAAATTCGCGTATAAGTCGCTGTTGTAGTTTTTGTTGTGCGGCATTCCCCGTCCTCGCGCAAGTGACCTACCACCATCGTCCTTGTGGTGATGTTCTCCGCGTGCGTGGTCGCTAACTCTAGAGTGCGCGTGGTGGATCCCAGCACGTCTTGGACGCGGCAGTGTCAAGAGGGCATGCACACACGAAGAGAATGAGACGGAGGGGGGAGAGGAGGACGATGATCGGATGAGATGAGGAGCGTAGGGGGGAGGAGGAGGAGGAGGAGGAGGAGGAGGAGGAGGAGGAGGAGGAGGAGGCGGAGGAGGAGGCGGAGGAAGGTACGACGCGACGACTATACGGGGGAGAGGGAAACGAAGAGCAAGGGGGAGAAGTGCGAAAGACGACGGAAAAGGAGAGCAGAGAGCGGTTCAGGAGGGGCGGGCGACCGGGGGAGGGGGGGCAGCATGGAAGGCGGGAAGCAGAAGACGACGGCGAAAGCGAAGGGGGGAAGCGGAAGTCGAAGCCAAAGAGAGGGGTTGGCTTGCGGTCCGATGCAATCCGACCCGATCTGGCGCCGATTGGTTCTTTCTCTGGTCTGCCGAGGCCGAGCCCCATCCGAGATTCAAAGTGTCCGATCCTGGTCCGGTTCCGCGCCGATCCGGGCGTTTCCGATCCGATCCAGTTGCGCAGTTCGATCCAGCTCAGGTCTTCCTCCTCACATCCTCTCCTCCTCCTCCCTCCTCCTCCCCTCCGTCCTCCTCCTCTCCTCCTCCCCTCCTCCTCCTCCTCCTCCTCCTCCCCTCCTCCTCCTCCTCCTCCTCCTCAATCCTCCTCCTACCTCCCAAAATTCGCTCCACGCCATCATCCTCCTCCTCCTCCTCCCTCCTCTCCCACCATCTTCATCTCCCCTCCCCTCCCCCACCTCTCCTGCCTCCTCCTCCTCGCATCCTCCTCCTCCTCCTCCTCCTCCTCCTGTCCTCATCCTCCTCCTCCTCTCCTCCTCCCCCTCCCCTCCTCCCCCTCCCACTCCTCCCCCTCCCGCCCTCGGGCCGCCTGCGGCCCAGTGGGGAAGGGGGCCGTCCACCCACGCCTCCAGAGCACCCCAAACCCCCCCTCCGAGGCCCAGGGTTTATACCCTTCTTCATTTCTATCTCTCGCCCACGATCCTCCTCCAGCCTCCTCCTCCTCCGCCCCTCCTCCTCCTCCTCCCTCCTCCTCACTCCTCCTTCCTCCCCCCTCCGCCCTCCTCCTCCTCCTCCTCCTCCTCCTCCTCCTCCTCCTCCTCCTCCTCCTCCTCCTCCTCCTCTGCCCTCCTCCTCCTCCTCTGCCCTCCTCCTCCGCCTGCGGGAGGACCATGCCCGACCCGAGCCCGGGGGGGCTTCCGACTGGGGCGAGAAGCTGGCGACACGATCGGGCCATGGGGGCGCCTCTCGCAGCCCCCGGGCTGCGTGCCCCGGACCCGCCAGCTCTTGAGAGGTTCCCAGCCGGTCCTCGTCTGGGTAGCTGTCCTCTCGCCCTGCCCTCGCCCTGCAGCCGAGAGACGCCGAAGTAAGGAGCAGTTTGGGTCCGGAGGGGGCTCGATGTTCCTCAGGTTCCTCCAGTGCTGTTCCTCCTGCCCTCCTGGCGCACGGAGGCGCTTGCAGGGCCAAGAAGAGGCTTCGTTTTTGACTTGGCGTTCCTTCTTTCAGCGGCCCGACTGTGCAGTGGGGGCCATTTGCTGTTATTGTTGTTTACGTTTGGGGTATGTTTGAAGTTTCGCCCAAGATCTGCCTGCAGGAGTCACCACCCACCAAACCACCCCAACCCAACCCGAAGGTTCAGATTTACCCTCGATTCCTAGTTGGGGGGGGTCGGGAAACCTCGAAAAAACACGCGTGGAACCCTTACCCCCCCAACCCGAAAATCGGGTCTTCGGGTTGGGTTGGGGTGGTCTGGTAGGTAGTCAAGGAGGACATGCCCGACCGAAGTCTGGGGCCTTGCTCGTGGCCGAGGCTCGCCGTGACCAGCAGCAGCACGCCCGTCGTGCCCGAGGCGGCGCTCCTTCTTTTGCACTGCGACGGCTGCACCGGAAATCCTGTGGAGGCGCCTGTCAAGAGACACCTGCCTCCAGGGTGCCCTGGGTT